TCCACCTGTGCACATTGTACCCGATAGATGATTTTTCATCCTTCCAACCTTCCCATTCTTTCACTTCTGAGTCTCTAGTGTCCATTATAACATTTTGTATGCCTTTACAGATCCTAAATTTATCTCCCATTTATAAGTGAGAGCATGTAATGTTTGGTTTCCTGTTCCTGCATTACTTCTCTTAGGATGCTGTTCTTCAATTATATTCAAGTTGCTGCAAAAGACATTATTTCATTCTTTTTGTGGCTGATTAGTATGCCATGGCATATATAGACCACATCTCATTATCCACTGATCAGTTGATGGGCATTTAGATTGATTCCACATTTTTATAGTTGTGAATTGTGTTACAGTGAACATGAGTGCAGGTATTCTTTTTGTATAACAACCTCTGTTCCTCTGAGTAGATACTTAGTTAGTGGGACTGCTGGGTCGAATGGTAGATGTACTTTTAGTTGTTTTGGAAATCTCCATACCGATTTCCATAGAGGTTGTTCTAATTGCACTCCTACCAACAGTGTGTAAACATTCTCTTTTCACTGATCTGCATCATCTATTTTTTAAAATTTTTTTTAATAATGATCAGTTTGACTGATGTAAGGAGGCATCTCGTTGTTTTGTTTTAATTTGCATTTCCCTGATAATTAGTGATGTTGAGCAATTTTTCATACATTTGTGGACCATTTCTTCTTTTGAGAGATATGTGTTCATGCCATTTGCCCACTTATTAATAAGGTTATTTGCTTTTTTCTTGCTGATTTGTATGAGTTCTTTGTAGATTCTGTATATTAGCCTCAAAGTATATTTCTTTCTATGTTGATAGGTATAAGATAAACAAGCTGTCTAATATTGGGAGGTGTTTTTCTAAAGAAATGTAGTAACGTTTGTTACTAGAGTACTTCTGAAAAACATTTTAAATCTTCTAGAAGCAGTTAAAATAGCAGTCTCCAAGATTACTTGAATTTGGAACCCTTTTATCATGGATTTTCTCTCCACTCTGGTAGTCTGTAGAATCCACTTTGGAAAATGCTGCCATAGAGATGTAGAACATCAGGGCTGAATGATATCAAAGGCAGTTTAATATAATCATCCAAATGATTTTTGCTGAAAACACTTGGTCAATTTAGTTTTCTGTTGTTTATATTCCAAAAATAATGGAAATTATGTTTACTTTTATTTATCAGTATTATGAGTAAAGTTTCTTACCTCATGTCTCTTTCTTGTATGGAATAGCACATTTAAGATTTTCTCTGGAAGTTAGCAAGCTTTGCACACGTCAGCAGAGGCTTTGTCCTTTCTAGGATCATACAGCTTCATGGGAAGATAGCCAAAGGACAGGGAATCTTGTCTTGATTTTCTTAATATGTGTTTTGTAATAACCATGATCACTGGCAAAGGGCAGAACAATCTGGGCAGCCAGGTTAATTTTTTTTAAAGGGCAGAACCAAAAAGAAATTATTATTTTTAGGAAATGTATTAGGAAATGCTGCTGGGATCAGCAATTGTTGAAGAGATAGGGATTAAGCAGAGGGACAAGTTGGGTTGCAATGTAGTCTCAATAAAGATGTCAGGTGACCCCATGGGAGGCTCTGGATTTGTGGTGTCTCTTCAGAGTTGGTATAAGTTAGCGGAAAGAGACATGAATAGCTCTGTGTCACTCTGTCATTGGATAAAGCTGGCCCTTAAAGAGCCTGTGACCTTATGTGAGGCAACTCTTGTTAACCAGAAAACCTTCCACAGAGTAGGAGCTGAAGGCTATCTGCCATCACCACCTCCAGCACCTGCAGGAACTAGACTTTCATTTCTGAATGTGTATGGGACAGTGTGTCACAGGATCTACTTCAGAGGCGTATCAGTGTTGAGAAGCATTGGTTTTGGCTCATGGTAATATGAGCCCTGGCAATCCTCCTGCCTCAGCCTCCTCCCAAAGTTGCATGTAATTAGAAGACATCGTCCTAAGTAACAAGGAATGGAAAACCAAACACTGCATGTTCTCACTTACAAGTAAGAGCTGGGATTGCAGGTGTGAGGCACCGTGGCCAGCCAGTGGAAGATTCTTTTTATTTCATATGCCAATAATATAATATTCAGGTAATTAAAATAGACAGCTATGCAATTTCTAAATTAAATTTTGTGACTTGGAAATCTCACCAAGATCCAAGGCAAAGCCTTTGGCCTGGCATAACTCTGAAGACTGTTTGCTATTAATGTTTTTGTTAGTTTGATTTTTGGGTAACTGGTTAGTGCCTAGAGGGGAAGTACATAGATAGTGGTTTAGCCAAAAATTTCACTGGGTCCTCAAGATCACCCTGTAAATTCTTAGTGACTTTCCTATCCACTTCCTCCAATTGCTAATGTCAAAGTTCTTTAACTCTCTCCATCTGACTTGTTTTCTAAAGTCTAGTCTTTACTTGCCACACTCATATCCCTATCCTCCCACACCCCATCATCCACCCCAGCCCACTTCAATAAAGATTACAATTTTCTTGCTGCATTTTTCCTAACTGCCTCCTCAGATTAATGATGATTTTTCTGTGGCAAAGATTATGAAGCTGTCAACTGCAGTATTCATTCTATCTTTGTGACAGAACTCTGGGCAGTGTGACTGCCAAAGAAGGTCACTTGTCAGCCTCTGTTACAAGTAGGTATATACAAGTGGAAGTAACTGGGTGGAGTTCCTGGAGACCTTGCTGCCTGGAATGAAGACATGTTGGCTAGAGGTCTAGTAGCCACTTTGAGAGCATGACAGAAGACTAAGAGTGAAAGAGGCAGACACCAGCATCTGCCTACTTTCAAATTTCTCATTATGTGAGAAAAGTCAATCCTTATGTATTAAGTATCATCAGGTCTTTGCCTACTCAGGAGGCTGAGGTGAGAGGATCACTTGAGCCCAGGAGTTTGATGCTGCCATGAGTGATGATCGCACCACTGCACTTCAGCCTGGGCAAGAGTGAGACCCCTCCATCTTAAAAAAAAAAGAATCTTCTGCTAACCAGAACAGTAATACATGTAATGCAAAAGGTGTGTTTTCATGCTGACTTCCTTACATCTCCTTGAGATCCTTTTCCTATTATTAATACTAATCTGTTATAAATAAGATGTTTCCTTACTTAACGGCAGTGAAAGGATAGGCCTTCTGCTGGTTCTTTACCCTTTAGTTCATCCTAGGTGCATGTGACAACATTGTGTATAGAGTTGAAAGCTTGGCTTGTCAATTCACACCACTTGGATTCAAAGTTTATCTCTTGTGCTTACTGCTTGTGTCATCTTGGGCAAGATTACCTGAGCCAGTAGTTCACAAACAGGTAATTTTGTCCCTCCAAGGGATATTTGACAACATATGGAGACACGTATGGTTGTGACAACTAGAATGGGGATTGGTAGAGGCTGCTAAAAATCCCAAAATACACATGACAGGTCCCACAACAAGCAATTAGCTGGCTCAAAATGTTAACTCGTTGAGATTGAGAAACTTTGTTTTAACCTCTCCAAGCCTCCATTTCTTTTTTTTTCCTTTTGAGGCAGGATCTCAGTCTATTGCCCAGGCTGCAGTGCAGTGACCTGATTTCAGCTCACTGTAGCCTTGGCCTCCTGGACTCAAGTGATCCTCCCACCTCAGCCTCCTAAGTAGCTGAAACTACAGGCATGTGCTAGCCCCCACACCCAGCTAATTTTTGTATTTTTTGTAGAGACAAGGTCTCACTATGTTGCCCAGGCTGATCTCGAACTCCTGGACTCAAGGGATCCTCCTGCCTCAGCTTCCCAAAATGCTGGGATTGTAGGTATGAGGCACAGTACCTGGCCACCTCCTTCTTCATTGAAGAATTGGAGTTAGTAATAGTATCATTTAAGTATTTTCATGATGGTCAAATGAGATATTCCATGTAAAATGCTTAGCATAGTGCCTGGCACCTAAGTGCCCTATTATTATAAAACCTTATTATTATCATCATTATCATCACCAGAACTAATCTGGATATTTAGGCTGAATTAAAAGAATATGCAGTGTACTGCTATAGCCATGCAGCCAGAGGAATTCATTTGCCTTTTTCCTTCATCTGATGAAAATTTCTAAAGAATAAAGAAAATAGGGAATGGAATAGAAATCTTCTTGCTTACAAAGTCAAAGAGAATAATAAATCAATTAGGTAACCACTGTACTTTATTCTAAGGTCTAAGAAAATATGATGTTCAGTCCTACTTGGAAAAACAACTTTCTTCTTCACACTGATATCTCTCTCTCTCTCTCTCTCTCTCTTCCTTCTCCTTCCCCGTTTCTTCTTTTTGCACCATATTGCAAAGTTACGATTCCTTTCCTCTTTACTTCTTTTAGAGTTTCAATTTTTTTTTTTTTTTTTTGAGTTGGAGTCTCACTCTGTCACCCAGACTGGAGTGCAGTGGCTACTCCCGGCCACCTCAGCCTCAACCTGCTGGGCTCCAGCGATCCTTCCACCTCAGCCTTCCAAGTAGCTGGAACTACAGGCACACGCTACCATGCCCAGCTAATTTTTTATTTATTGTAGAGATGAGGTCTTGCCAAGTTGCCCAGGCGGGTCTTGAACCCGCGGGCTCAGGCAATCCACTCACCTTGGCCTCCCAAAGCGCTGAGCGACCAAGCCCAGCCTTTTTTCTTTGAGTTAGAGTCTCACTTTGTCACCTGGGCTGGAGGGCAGTGGCACAGTCACGGCTCACCACAGCCTCAACCTCCTGGGCTCAGGTAATCCTTCTACCTCAGCCCCCCTCAAGTAGCTGAGACTACAGTGGCGCAGTGTTAGCCAGGACAAAGCAATAGTATCTTTGAAAATAAAAGCCATTCCACCATTACATATTATTCATGCAGTAACCAAATGAGATGCTGAAATGTTTGCAAAGTTTTCAAATCTACAGTTTTCATTTGGTAATTCTGCTAAGGAGTAAACTCCAAATCCCTAACCTTCACTTAGTGGACATAAATCCATTCATATTGCAGTATTATTAATAATTATCCTTTATTTTTCAAGGCAAATGCAATAGGCAGAAGTGCTAAAACTGTTCGAGAATTTCTAGAAAAGAATTACACAGAAGATGCTATAGCAGACGACAATGAAGCTATCAAATTAGCCATAAGAGCTTTGCTAGAAGTAAGTGATCTAGTAAAGCATATTCAGAAAAACATGAGGTTTTTTTTCCTTTGTCCATTTTTGCTTAACACAAAATTTGCTAAAGTAATTCTAATGTACTTATTCTACATTAGGTTGTCCAGTCTGGTGGAAGAAACATTGAACTTGCTATAATAAAAAGAAACCAACCTTTGAAGGTAAGTCAGTAACCAAAGAGAGAACAGTATCTGTAGTATAAAGTATTTTGACAAAAGTTAAAATGTTGTTGATACCTGTGAGTCTTCATTATAAGCGAGAAACATCCATTTGTATCCATTGATACCATAGTCACTTTCGTTTGGTTTCTATAAGCTAATATTCATTCATATGTGTTATGGCAGCAGTTACTAATCTTTGTCTCTTTGTGAAAGCCTAAAGGTTTTGAGATTTCCATATAGGCCTGCCCGTTTAGTGTATACTTCTGTAAGTAGAAACCTCTACTGAATCATTCCTGATTCTATGCAGATCAGTGTAGCACGTTCTAATAAGTAGAAATTTATTCCTGGAACCATGTAGAGAGCAGTTACACTTGTTGTCTTTTTAGATCTTCTGAAACAAGCTATGTGTCACAGCTGCCATTTTGAAATCTTTGTTGGCCTTTCAGGCTTCTGATATGTTATCCTTCATGATGTCAAATAACTGCCACCCATTTCTGATTGTCTGCTAGTTTTTATGTTTCCTTTACTTTACCTTTGAAAGTGCCTTGAGCTTTTGTAAGACTTAAACTTTAATACCTAGCATGGTAACCTTTCTATATTTCTTTGTGACAAGTCTAATATTGTTTGTATAACTTTTGTCAGCCATTATGGGTTAAAATTATTGGACCACAAAATAAATTGTTCTGAATATTGTGATAGAGGACTTCTTAGCAAAAGAACATTTGAAACGAGATTCACTCTTGTTCTTTAGGTAGAACAGTCTTAGCTGAGATTGTGCAAAAGCACTCAAAACATGGGAACTAATTTAAAAATACACTTAAAGGATTGTTTTACAACCAGACTTGGTGGTCTGTGCCTATAATGCCAACTACTTAGAGGCTGAGGCAGAAGAATCACTTGAGCTCAAGAGTTTGATACTAACCTGGGTAACATAGTGAGACCTTGCCTCTAGAAAAAATTTAAATTTAAGTTTTTTAAAAAGGATTGTTTTACATACACTTTTTCTTTCATTTTAAGGAATATATTTCCAGGAAAAATAATTGGTAAAATAAGTGCTATGTGGAGCAGTGTGTTTTTTTGTTTGTCTTTTGTCATTGTTGTTTGACACCACTTTCTGCCTTTTATTATTCAACCAATAGATGGGATATGAGAATAAGATAGTAGTGAAGGTTGAATAAATGAAATAGATGAAGCCAAGGTGATGGAGTATGCTTCTGCTGACCTTCACATAAATAATAGGGTGCTGAGCACAAAGTAAGGAAATGGTCACTGAACCAGGTTGTCACCCCTGCTGCCAAGGGCCCAGGGTCAGATGCAGCAACCCTACAGGGGCACAGAAATGATTGAGGTGAGAGCTGCCTTTTCAGCCCCATCACATACACATTGATATGCACACACACACAAACATACAGTTATACAGATATTTTTACTTATGAGGGGTAGAGTGGGGTGTGTACTGGCAGCAGTGTTATACTATCATTCTGCATGATATTTCAGGATAGATTGTACAGGAAATCGAGCCTGTGCTTTGGAATTGGTACTCGGGTTTACATATAAAGTTGCACAGACCTGGGTTTAAGTTCTAGCAAATACCTTTGTTGAACTGTATGACCTTGAGCAAACTGCTCTGATCTTCAGTTTTCAATTTTCTTACCTATAAAGTGAAGCTAATAATTACTTTATCATAGGGCTATTGTGATAAGTAAATGAAATGGCATGAGATATTAATGTGCTATATAATATGAGAGGGAACCCAAAAAACCCCAGAATTTACTTATTTAAAAAATGTGTATTTATTCTTACACATTTAAACTTCAGTCACCTTCAAAGTACTCTCTGTTTGATGCAATATACCTACCAAGATGCTTTTTTCACTGCTCAAAACAGTTTTTGAACTTGTCAATTTTGATGCTTTTAGTGCTTCTGTTTTTTGTTTCACCTCCTCCACATCAGAAAAATGTTTCCCTTTGGGGACTTTTTTCATGCAGGGAAACAAAAGAAAGTTATTCAGGGCAAGATTGGATGAATAGGGAGGGTAGGGCATGGAGATCATGCTGATTTTGGTCAAAAACTGCCAAACATTCAGTGCAGTCTGGACAAGTTGTTATTAATCATCCATCATGAAATGGGCAAAGGCATTGAAAGAATCTCAAAAAAAAAAAAAATTCACTGAAACGGAACACAGCTTCTCACAACAATGCTAGCTAGTACACTGATACCAATGTATCAACTAACCTAGTGGGGGAAGCCTGTAGTACAAGGGGCCTGCCTTTCAAAAAATAACTCCAGGTTTTTGGGTCCCTCCTCATACATGCTCATGAAATGGTATTATTCATGTTATCATTAAATAAAAGATATACTATGTCTGTATACAGGCATACCTCATTTTTTGTGCTTCACTTTATTGCGCATAGCAGATAACTGGGTTTTTTTTTTACAAATTGAAGGTTTGTGGCAACCCTGTGTTTAGCAAGTCTGTTGGCATCATTTGTCTAACAGCATGGATTCACTTGGTGTCTCTGTGTCACATTTTTGGTAATTCTCCCAATATTTCAGACTTTTTCATTATTATTATATCTATATTGGTGATCTATGATCACTGACCTTTGATATTGCTATTATAATTGTTTTTGCAATGCCACGAACTTCATCTATATATAAGATAGCAAACTTAATAAATGTTGCATGTGTTCTGAATGCTCTACTGACCAGCTGTTCCCACATCCCTCTCCCTCTCATCAGGCCTCCCTGTACCCTGAAGCAACAATATTGAAATTAGGCCAAAGAATAACCCTACACTGGACTCCAAATGTTCAAGCGAAAGGAAGAGTAGCATATGTCTTATTTTAAAGCAAAAACTAGAAATGATTAAGCTTAGTGAGGAAGACATGTCAAAAGCTGAGACAGGCAGAAAGCTAGGTGTCTTATACAAGTTTTCCAGGTTGTGAATGAAAGGAAAAGTTCTTGAGGGAAATTAAAAGTGCTACTCCAGTGAACACACAAATGATAAGAAAGTGAAATAGCCTCATTGCTGATCAGAGAAAGTTTTAGTGGTCTGGATAAAAGATCAAACCAGCCACATTTCCTAAGCCAAGCCTAATCCAGATCAAGGCCCTAGCTCTTCAATTCTATGAAGGACAAGAGTGAGAAAGCTGCAGAAGAAAAGTTTGAAGCTAACAGAGTTTGGTTGATGAGGTTTAAGGAAAGAAACCATCTCAATAACATAAAAGTGCAAGGTAAAGCAGCAAATGCGATATCCAGAAGATCTAGCTAGGATCATTGATGAAGATGGCTACACCAAACAATAGGGATTAAATGTAGATGAAATAGCCTTCCATTTGAAGAAGGTGCCATCCAGTCCTTCATAGCTAGAGAGAAGTTGTTGTCTAGCTTCAAAGGATAAGCTTATTCTCTTAGGGGCTAATGCAGCCATTGACTCAAGTGGAAGTCTGTGCTTATTTACAGTTCCAAAAATCCTAGGGCCCTTAAGAATTATGCACAATTGGCTAGGTACAGTGGCACATCCTGTAATCTCAGCGCTTTAGGAGGCTGACATGGGAGAATCACTTGAGACCATGAGTTTGAGACCGGCCTGGATGATATAGTGAGACCCCTGCCTCTCAAAAAAAAAAACAAACCAAAAAAATTAACTGGGCATGGTGGCATACCCCTGTCATCTCAGTTATTTGAGAAGCTGAAGCAGAAGGATTACCTGAGCCCAGGAGGTCAGTGCTTTGGTGAGCTGTGATCATGCCACTGCACTCCAACCTTGGTGACAGGGTGAGACTCTGACTCCAAAAAAAAAAAAAAAATCTACTCTGTCTCTGCTGTCTAAATGGAACAACAAAGCCTGGATGGCAACACATATGATTACAGCATGGTTTATTCAATATTTTAAGCCAACTGTTGAGGTCTACTGCTCAGGAAAAAAAAAAAATTTCTTTCAAAATATGTTTTCTCATTGACAATGCACCTGTTCACCCAGGAGCTCTGATGGAGATGTACAAGGAGATTAATGTTGTTTTCATACCTGCTAATACAGCATCTATTCTTCAGCTCATGGATCAAGGAGTAATTTGCACTTTCAAGTCTTACTAGTTTAGAAATATTTTGTAACTACAATAGATAGTGATTCCCCCAGTGAATCTGAGCAAAGCCAATCAGAAACCTTTTGGAAGGGATTCAGCATCCTAGATGGAGGAGGTCAAAATATCAACACTAACAGGAATTTGGAAGAAGTTGATTCCAACTCTCGTGGATGATTCTGGGGGACTCAAGACTTCTGTGGAGGAAATACTGCATGTGGTAGAAATGACAAAATAACTACAATTAGAAGTGGAGCCTGAAGGTGTGACTGAGTTGCTGCAGTGTCATGATAAAAGTCAAACAGTTGATGAATTGCCTCTTACAGATGAGAAAACAAAGTGATCTCTTGATGTGGAATCTACTCCTGGTGATGATGCTGTGAACATTGCTGAAATGACAACAAAGGAATTAGAATATTCCATAAAGTACTTGGTAAAACAGTGGCACAGTTTGAGAGGATTGACTTAAGTTTTGAAAAGTTGTATTATGAGTAAAATGCTGTCAAATAACATTTCATACTTCAAGATATTCCTTTGTGAAAGGAAGGGTGTATCAATGCAGCAAACTTCATTGTTGTCATATTTTAAGAAATTGCAGCTCATCTAGGGACAGTAACTGGTAGGTCTGATTGGATTTGGCCACAGGTGAGGTCGGAGTCATGAGCGGTGATGAGGATTTCTGGAAAGAGGCCCATTTAACTTGAGTAGACAGCTTGGGATTATGGATGGATTTTGTTGTTTATATCGAACTTTCCTATGGTCCTATTTCCAGTTAGCAATGTGGTCATTTAAATTAAGACAATTGAGCCACTCTCGGTGACTCAGCCTGAGCCTGCGGATTCGAGACCCGCCTGGCCAGCGAGACCTCATCTCTACAATAAATCAAAAAATCAGCTAGGCATGGTAGCGTGCACC